GTACGGTGTCGAATAATTTGGTGTCGAATAAATCTGTGTCGAATCGAGCGGTGTCGAATCGTACTGTGGTCAATAGAGTATCACCCCTCTTTGTTTACCTATCCTATCCACTGGCCTCCTCTCAATATGCCTACAGAGAGGGCAGATCAACTGATACTGCCCTGCACCATCTTGTGAGGCACAGTTGGAGGCAAAGGGATATGCCTTGGGCGTATTCCTGGACATCGAGGGAGCTTTTGATAGCAGCTCGTATGATGTGATCGGGAAAGCGATGACCAGATATGACATTCCAGCTGCGTTAGCAGACTGGACACAAAGCATGCTTACAGGACGAACCCTGACTGCTGGTCATGAAGACTCGGTGGTGCATGGCTTCTTCGCCAGAGATTGTCCGCAGGGGGGAGTACTATCTTTCTTACTGTGGTGCCTAGTGGTGGATGAATTTCTTGAGAAGTTGCGGAAAGCGGGCTTCCCCGTCTATGGTTACGCTAATGATGTGGCCATAGTAATGGGGGCCTTTCTTGCGATACTCAAAGATATAATGGAAAAACCACTTACGCTTACGCAAAACTGGTGTCAATCAAAAGGACTTAGAGCTAATCCATCAAATACCAAGGCCATGATTTTCATCAGGAAATATAAATCCGAGGCCATTGAGCCGTTAAGGTTTTGGCATGAGGAAATAGAATACGTCTAGTCAGTCAAATACTTGGGAGTCTACTTAGATACCAAACTGGAAGCTGGAAAACACATCTCGAAATAAAGAGATCCAAGTTTTACGCCTCTTTTTGGGGGTGTAAAAGAGTAATGGAAAAGTCCTGGGGCATTAAACTGTGAATGCTGCCCTATGGATATACAAATCGATATTGTTACCGAGATTAACATATGTTGCTGTGGTCTGATGGCCTAGAGTAAAAATGACGGAGGCAAGGAATCTGCTAGAAGCCTACAGGGTAACTACCTAAGGGCTGCGGCAGGGGCTATGAGAACAACACCAACAGAGGCGCTGGAAGTAGCACTTTGTATTCCTCTTTTAAATCAACAAATAGTCAGCACCGCCAGACTCACAGCATATTGACTAAGGTGTCAAAGGGAGTGGAGACAATTCGGGATAGGTCATATCAAGCTCGGGTTTCTCCACAAATTTCTCTTCATACTGAAGCAAGATAGAATATCCAGAATATACTAAGTAAACAAGGCGTTTTCTATAAACTGTCTACTAGAGCTGAATGGTGTAATAAAAACCTACAGATCCAACCGAACATAGTTGCGTGGTTCACCGATGGATCTGGAGCAAACGACCGCTATGGAGCAGGTATATATTGTCCAGGAAACAATTACAGTGAGTTTTTCTCTCTAGGTAAGTTAGCCACGGTCTTCTAAGCGAAAGTCTTGGCTATCCTGGAATGTGCAAGACTCCTGCTCTTAAAGGAGACGATGAGCAGGAGGATCCATATTTACACAGATAGTAAAGCCGCTATAGGAGCCCTTGCTAAGACCACCACTGAATCATCAGTGGTTCGGGACTGCATGCAAGCTCTGAACAGATTGGGAGATCATAACAAGTGCACACTAATCTGGGTACCCGGCCATCAAGGTATCCGCGGTAATAAGATAGCGGATGGCTTGGTAAAGCTGGGCACCTTAGAGGAACCAGCTGGCCAAAAAGTTCGGCGTTCCCTTTGCCGTAAGAAAAAATTACATCAAGGATCGGCTGAAGCGAGAGCACCAGGACTCTTGGAAGAAACTGAAAAGCTGCCGCCAGGCCAAACTCTTGATGAGTCAGCCATCGTCAAGCAGGGCTAAAGAACTGCTGGCTATGCATAAAGATAGACTAAGATTA